ACTGAGGCAAAAGGACTGTGACATAGCAACACCCTTTCTAAAATACCCCACTGCTACACATCACAAAAATATTATAAAAATAAACAAACCAATTCTGACAAATCATGAACACTTACTCTGAGTTTGCATTTCAAACATAAGGTACATCACTTTCTATATTTTACAGAAGACTGAGTACAGTCAGGACTGAAACGACACTACACTTTCCATCAGTAAACTAAACCTTTTTTCTAGAAGACCACTACTTACTTCTACAATCTTCTGCACATCCACGTCATTATAAAATGAAACAAATCCATAGCTAGAAAGACAGATAAATGAAGTATAAAATCACCATACACATGATTTAAAACTTCTAATTAGTCTATGAAACAAGAGAACTGATGATAAAAAAAAAAAATCGCACGGTAAGTATTTGTAAAAGGCACATGCTGACTCTGCTACAAATATCAGTGCTTTGTATTTTAAGAATGAGCTAAGGTTAAGGCTGTCTGGGAGTCTCATTACTAGTGAAGACTTCCTATCTTGGAACCTGAATTTAACTTATCTAAGGCAAGAGGTAAAAGTTTAAGACACAGTGAAACGTGCAAAGAAAATGATTCTTCGATAAAATGAATCCACTTTTGTGAAACAGAAGAAGTAACGAGATACAAAAATTAGGAAACTGATTAAACATAAGAACTGGCAATAAGCATTTATTTTCTACACTAAATAAATTTTATTTATACAAGTGTCAGAGTATCAGTTTTAAAGTTTTCTTCTCTGATACTCAACAGATCCTACATCCCAGAAATGTCTGGTAATTTATAATTAAGTATGTTTTACTTACCCTTTAGACACACCAGTTCGATCCGTGATTATCTTCACTTCTTTTACTGATCCATATCTAGCAAAGAAACTTCTAATTTCAGTTTCATCCATCTATGGAAAAAAATTGAACTTCAAAAGTAAAAACTCAGCATTCAAAGTTTTTAGTTCTACTAAAAAGGAGCTTTGATGATGTGGAAGTATCTCCCCTGAGTACTCCCAAATGACCTCTAGTTCTTTGTCAAAGATAATTTTAGTCTCTATGTGTTAAGCATGAACCAATTCCAAACCTGTATGAAATACAAAAAACCTTAGATCCTAGAAGAGGACCAAACTCCCATTATTTACAACCTAGTTTAAAATATACGTGAACTATGAATACAATACCCTAACATCAATTCCACCAACAAAAACGGTGTTCGGCATGATTTTGCCTTCTGGTAAAACATAGCCTTGGCTGGCCGCAGCTGATGAAGACTGGGTGCTGGCCTCTCTGGAGATGGTGGAGCCTGGAGTCTCAGGACTTGCAGCAGACTGTAATTTAGAAAGCAGATATCTTAACTAGATATACAGGTAAAAGTCATATGTAATACAAAATGTAACTATTGTATTTAGAGTATATAAAATATATGTTATTTTAAGTTAGTCATTAAGATGGCTTAATTCAGGCTCAAGATTTAAATTAATCAGAGTAGATCAACATGAAATTTTAATAAAATATTGCACTTTCTTAAGCCCACGGTTACTCATTCCCGAGACTTGTATAATGCTATAGGAGAATACAGATTTTACATTTTGTGAGAATTCTATTTGATCTGATAAAAGATAATTAGAATGTTCAGATTAGTAAAAACTAAAGTTATAACCAAAAAATAAACTCAAAAAAACAAAAATATGAACTAAAACAAATAAGCTGCACCAAAATGAAAACAAGCATTAAAGTTTGTTTTGCTTTGCCTTTCTGTTCACCAAAATCAACACAAATTCTTTTCTGTTGTTATAGGGATAGGGCACATGCACTCTCCAGAGAAAGAGAAAGTGAAAAATCGCCCCTCTGGGGTATGGCCACTCTATAACCCCTTCTCCAATGTCCTCTAGGAATTCTGGGTGCGTGCGTGCATGCACACGTGCACACACACACACACAGCATGCTTCTTGAACAACACCGAATCAGCCCCACTGACAATTCCAAGTTTTGCAATGGGCTGATAAATATAAATAATACAATATTTATTTTACGATAAAGAAACCCACACAATATAGAATACCTTATTTTTTTTCAGGATTCTGATCAGAACTCTCATTAGTCTTTCTACAGTAGACCCAAAGTTAATGTGACATCTTCTGAAGCTGAATTTACTCTGTGTGTGTGTATGTGTGTGTTGGAAAGGCAGTACAGCACAATAAAACAAACTTGGATTTAGTCAGAAGATCTAGGTTCATGTGCCCTAGTAGACTATAACGCACTTACTTGCCAGCTGTGTATCTCTGGGCAAATTACTTTTAGGATGAAATTAGGTAACATCTGTGAACTCATTTTGAAAGCATAAAGTCATATGCCAATATAAGTTAGTGTCCTGTTATTTAAATATATTTCATTAGTGTTTTAAGAAGCTTGTTTTCTAGTTCTACCATCTTAGGTGACTTGTAGATACTTTATTGATTAACAATTAGAACTTAAGAGAACTACTTAATGAAACATCTACTCAACTGAAATTCATTTATGAAGTTTCTATTGATTACAAAAGGTCAACACAAAAGGCTTTGAGAGAAAGCTATTACACCTATTTATAAAACAAAAGGACAAAAGAAACCAACTGGTATATCCTTTTTAAAAGTTAAGCATATTTATAAAAACAGTAGAGTTCGTGCTTTGTTAATTAGCTGCTAAGTTACTGATTTAAGATTCTAGGAAGTGCTATACTAGAGATTAAATAAAAAGAATCAAATCATCAAAGATGAGCTTTTGCTTTTTTTCTACTCATTTGTGTTTAATTATATTTGCTATATATTTTTTTCCTACTTAAATACTTCCTTGAGAGATTTTTGCTACAGGGTACATGTGCTCAGCAGAGTGACAGCAAGAAATCCCCTTCCAGGTGAATGGCTACAACACAATCCTTTCTCCGTTCTCCTCTCAGGACTTTGGCACGCATGCACGTACAGGCACATACCCTAAGTTTCAAGCCCCTGGGTCCAGGACTCAAACTGTGATCAGCCACTTGGGAGTCCAGTGCCTTAACCACTTGCCACCTGCTGGCCTCAAATACTTCCTAACTTTTTCCTTTAACTATAGCACAAACATACTTTTCTTTTCTTTGGAGAGGTTTTCGATGGGTGCATATGCTTGCCAGAAAGACAGAGAAAGACAAAGCAAGAGAAATCATCCCCGCTGGGGAGGATGGCTGCGCCACACCCCTTCTCGATTTTCCTCTTGGGATCTTGGGCGGGAACGCACATGCACCCAGCATGAGTTTAAGACACTGCACATGCGCCCAGCATGAATTTAAGACACTGGGTCCGGGACTCGAACCGTGGTCGACTACATGGTAGTCCAGTGACATAGCCATTACGCCATCTGCTATTCCCAGTACAAACATATTTCAAGGCAATGAAAAGAGAAACAAAATTTTTTTCTAAAGTTTTCCCTTTTTTAAAGTGCCTTAAAATTTTATTTTTTCTAAGTGGGAATCTTAAAAAAGCTACATATTTTGGACTATTGAAAATCCAACTAAAGGAGCCAGCAGATGGCATGACGGTTATGCCACTAGACTCCCACATAGTTGACTGCGGTTTGAGTCCAGGACCCGGCAGCTTTAACTCATGCCGGGTGCATGTGCCCAAAATCCCAAGAGGAGAATGGAAGAAAAAGGATTGCAGGGTGGCCCTGAGGGGGTGATTTCTCACTATATGTTTCCCTGGCAAGCATACATGCCCTATGGCAAAAAATCTCTCTTAAAAAAAAAAAAAAAAAGAAAGAAAACCCAACTAGATTTTCCTTCCCTTTAGATAACCTACCTTTCCATCCTCAATTAGCTCATTTAAAATACCCAAACATAAGATGGTAATATTGAAACTCCTGTAGACCTTTTTCTCCTTAATTCCCGCATCATCTGTAGATAAACTCCGGATACATTTTTATTTAATAAAAAGGTATATTATTGTCTGCACAATGACAGACAGATATATTTCAATTTAGAGATGTAATATCTGCCCAGAAACCCATGCTAGCTTATAAGAGGCTAAGATAACACACTGATTCTCAAACATACAAGGCTGAGTGTCCATGGGACATTTGGCAATGCCTAGACAGACTGCTGGCTATCACTCCTGAGTACACTCTTGACATGCAGCGGAGTAGAAAGCTAGGGATACTACTAAACACCTTACCATCGAAAGGACAGCCTTCCACAACAAAAAACTGCATGGTCCCAAATCTGAATAGGGCTGTGGCTAGGAAACCCTGTCAGAGTTGAAAGAAAAATTGCTTGGGAAGAATTAGCTTTTAATTTTTCAGTAAAATACAGTAAGTTGTTTTCAGGACCTTTGTTTCTTTATTGGAAAACTGAATGTTTAGAAAAGAACTCTGATAGTTCTAATCCTCATACTCTATTTACAATAAAGTAAAATGAACATTTGGGGCTGCAATAATTTGGTAAATATGAGGAAAGACATTGCATATTACAGGTAGTCTGATTTTGGCTGCCTGCTTCATTGGGAGAGAAAATATGTAATTCATCTCATCTTTTACACAGTGTAATAACATCTTAAACTCAGAAAGGCACCAGCCCTCAGCCAGTAGGTGGCATTCAAAGCTAACAAAGCAAAGTATTCCATTTCAGAAAGACTTGGACAGAAGATCTTTTTAAAATTCCTTCTGTGTATTTATGAGTAATTATAAGATATATATATGCACACACACATACATATATATATATAAAAAACATCAACCATCGATACACAATCAATCCTTGCTTTTTTTTTTTTTTAAGATTTATTCAATTTTATTTATTTTAATTTGGCCAGAGACAGAGAAGGTGAAGAAGCAAGATGTGCTCCCTGACTTACGCTGCAGCCAGCCCTAGGGAGAGGGTCCAACACCTCAGCCATTACACTATCTGCCAGCCGCTCCTGGGTTACTTTTAAACTGTGACCAAGATACTCTTCAAATAAATACTCAGACTAAGCAAAAGTTTGATGTTAAAGAAAGCACTTTCTTTAGGGGACCAGCAGTTAGTGTAATGGCTATGTCGCTGGACTCCCATGTAGTCGACCGTGGTTCATGTCCCAGACCCGGTGGCTTAAAACTCACGCCGGGTGTGTGTGCGTGCGTGCCCAAGATCCCGAGAGGAGAATGGAGGAGAAGGGATTGCGGAGTGGCCATCCTCCCTGGGGGGTGATTTCTCGCTTTCTGTCTGTCTGTCTATCTGGCGAGCGCATATGCCCTATAGCAAAAACCTCTCCAAAAGAAAAAAACACACATTCTTCACAATCAATAGCATACTGAAAATACACTGCATAATGGTAGGAAATGATTAGTTTTCTAAATAATACCTTCAAATGAGTTGGTGAGTTCTGAAATGAAAAATGTTGGGACTGTAAACAGGACTGAGTTTAAAGACCGTCATATGTATTTCTCATCATCAGTATTGACTTTGGGTCATGGGAAATCATGATGTATTTTTGCATAGAAAAATAGAAAACTACATCAAGACTTTCGACAACCTAATAGTAATCTATTTTCTATCATATTTGAATATCCAAGTGGCAAAGATAACTAAAAGCTGAAAACAAATTATAATTTTTTAAATTTCTGGGATGTCTCTTTTGACAACATTATTGAATTCTATTACTATATTTACATGCAAACTGTGATCTATGTATGTTGACCAGAACATGCAGTCTTCTAGGTTATAACTACAATGGTAAGAAAGGGATAATAAAAGTAAGAAAATAGAAAATAAAAATCAGAATAAAACTTTTAAGTAAATCCAAGAGTATATACTTGGGAAGGGAAAGTCAGTTCACAAGCAATAAATAAGCAATCCTGGCCAAGAGAGAAAAAAAAAAACCCACAAAAATATACATTACACATGAAAAAGCAAAAAAAAACCCCACAGATTGTTAAGAGAGTACTTTGTAAAAACTCTACAGGAGTAAATCTGAAAACCGACATAATGGCCAACTTTCTAGGAAAAAAATAAAATTTTTCTTATAAAACACTTACTAGCTCCATTTCACTAGGAGTTTTTGCAAATTGTAGAGAATCAGAATGAGTGAGTAGAAGACACAGACGCACCCAAGACACCAGGAAAAAGGGCAGGTAGGAGAAGCAGAGGGGAGAAAAATCACTTTTCTTAAAAAATACTTTCAGAGGGGGCGACAGGTGACATGGTAGTTAAGGTTCTAGATTCCGTATAACTGATTGTGCTTCAAGTCCCAGACCTGGTGGCTTGCCATATCATTCTCTCTCTCCAGTCAAAATGAAGAGTAACAACAAATAAAATTAACTAATTCTTTAAAAAACACCTTCAAAGGGGCCAGCAGGTGGTGGTGTGGTTAAGGACACTGGACTCCCAAATGGCCAACCATGGTTCAAATCCTGAACCTGGTGGCTTGCTTTCTCACTTTCCCTTTCTTTCTCTCTCTGATCAAACTGGAAAATCAAAAATAATAATAAAGTTAAATAAATAAAAAGAAAATTTGGTAAAATAAATAAGGGAACAATCTAATACTTTCAAATTGTTTTAAATTTATCTTTAGAAAAATACCTAACTCACATTAATTGAAAGATGTAGATTGTCAAACAGTATTAGATAACATGCACAACTTCTGTAAAATAAAATTTACCCACCTACAGCAATACAAATAATCTGGAAAGCATATGAATAACAAACTTTAAAAAAAGGCTTTAGGGTTAAGACGAATCTCTATTTTCTTACAGTGACTACTTTCAAATGAATATACTACTTTTATAGCCAGAAAAAATTAAACCTATTAGTATTTCCCTCCTTTACCTCTAAAAATGGGAGGGAAAAAATTACTGTCAATGATTACTGCTCATAGTAAATAATCACAAGCATGAACATGTTACACACAAAAAATTCTGAATTGCTTACATAAAATGTTTTTACTTAAATAAGTGACAATAAAAGGGAACCTCAAAAAGTTTGTGGAAAATATGAATTAAAGTACAGGTTTATTTTCCTGCAAAAAAAAATTGAAATCCATTCATTCACGGTTCTTTTATAGCAAGCATTTTCCACGAACCTTAGAATCCCTCACATAATTAGGGAACCCATTTCTGTCTCTAAAAATGGAAAGACTAAGAATTATCACAATATTTTGAATCCACACAGTATATAATACACGTCCGTCACTTAATGGATAGACATCGTATTCACAGAATTTGAACTCTGTAATTTACCACAATTCACATAAACGTATACCAAAAAGAATGCAGGTATCCACAAAATGTGCATTTTGGTAAAAATTCCTGACTTAGGGCCAGCAGGTGGCATGAACGTTAAAGGCACTGGACTCCATGGCCGACCGTGGGTTAAGTCTCGGATCTGGTGGCTTGCTTTCTCACTGCCTCACTCTCTGATCAAACTAGAAAATAGCAAGTAAAAAGTAAATTTAAGTAATTCTTTTTTCAAAAATTCCCGACTTATGAAAGAGAAAAAAGTATCCCCTGAATTAGAAAAAAACAAAAATACCTGGAATTTTCAAGAGCAACCCCGAACCCACCCTCTGTCGGCAAAGATGGCGGCAGGCGGGCTTTGAGGCTGCGGTCGCCCCCACGGAGCCGCCCTCAGCAGCTGGGGTCGCGACG